GTTGATAGCCTTTTAAGCCACCACTTTTAGTACGTTATGACGGTTAAAAAGCGCGTCACACGATGAGGAAATGCAATTTCAGTAGACAGACACGATTGAAAGCTTTTAGACAGTGGATATTTTCCAACTGAATGGGGTTAAATACGTCCAAAGAAGTTGTCTAACGATGACAATCCTTGCTTACGGATTTGATTCCACGTCGATTGATTTCAATTACGTGCACGAGCCTCTCCTTGACTCAGCATCCGACCTCTTTTTTGAAAATGCTAGCCGAACATTTCGACTATCTCTATTCCTTTATTATCTCATATTACAGACGACTTGTCTAAAGGAGCGAAATCAGATGTCATCAGCGTCTCAAAAATGAATGGAGTGGGATGCACCGGTAGATGCTGCTTCATTAACCTAGTGCGAAACCGAAAAAGCAGCCAGCACGCTAATGTAACTGTGGTCCTCTCACTCGTGTTTAGCAGTGGTGATGGAAAAATGACCTTATGACTGCCGATGACATTATGACAATCGCTCAGCCGCGTACACGAACAGTCGAACTCGGTCTGTTAGCGTAGGCCTAGTTAGGTCACAGAAGGTGTTGTGGTTTGTCGTTAAGCAGCACGACGAACGATGTAGAATCACCATAAACAAAATAAAATGGACCAGAAAAATCTACAGCGTGGCGACAGCGGACCACCGATATCGGATATCAGAGTACGGTGAAGGACGGAATGCCTAGTCAAACGACCAAGATCTGCCGATTGGTGTATCCAGTCCTTCCCGGTTATACATCGCAGTGAAGAGAAAGGATTTATAAAGACGACTGTCCACAAAGAAGCTGGAAAAGACGTTAGGAGAAATGATTCTTCTGTAGGTTCACAGCAGTGGTACGTCGAAAGTGCGGTGGAATGACAGGTACATTTCAACTAAAGGGTGCGGCCTGCGTTTCCCAAATTTGGATTTAAATGCAGTTTACTTTGTCACAAACATCCGTGCAAGACAATAATAATCAGATGTCTTGTCCTACAGGCTGTCAACTACATGACCGATCCCCGCACGAAACGATAAGCTACAGTAGTAGTTATAACCGAAAAGCGTCTTTCGAAAAAACGGTACCCCTTCCATTAATGTAATGAGTTTTGTGGGAACAAGAAAATGTGTGCAGTGCACAAGCTATATTGTAACTATAGAACCGCGAAGTTAGTTAGTCCGCATCGTTGGAGTAGAATAATCTCTAGACAGATTTGTTCCCCAAACCTCCTACTGAGAAGCGGACTGTATGTCTTGGCGAAATGCAGTCCGGCTTTCGAGATGATCGTGAAGTGCAGCGTGCGCAGTTCTTTAAAGCAAGTAAGAGAAAACAGTCACTAAGAAGAAGAAGACCATCTTTAATATTAAAAGCCAGACGCATAGCTTCACCGTATATTTGTCCATTACGGATATGCTTGTTCCGACCTAGTAATTCCTGCAAATTACCTCGGAAGCATCGGTTCAATTCCAATTAACTGCATTCCACCGAAAATGTTAAAGAGGAGGACTGAAGTCGTATTCAGCGTCCTCGCGACAATGTCCCCTCATATGCAACGTCTTGATAGCAGCACCCTTGTATTCAGACCTTCACGCAAACTTCACCAACAGTCCTTTTTACATTGCTCGGAAATGGGCGCATCGTTTACTCTAAAGGTGGTCAGGCAGACATGCTAGCATTTGCGCAGGTCCGCCGAATGGACAGCAGAGGACGTAGTCACGTATTTTTAGCGACAATTGAGGGTAACTAGACAAAACGCCTGTAAACAAAAAAGACTGGCCAATTGGAGGAAGGAAATAGGCGTAAAATGTACGAAGAAATTGGGTTTTCATAAATCCTAGGCCGTTGCCAGCACTAATTCTTCAAACGCCAGTGAACTGCGGTTGCATCTCCGTAATGCAACTAGGTTTATGCTTTGGGTGTAAGACATGGAAAGTATGAAAAGCTGAACATTCTTTTATTAAGCTAACATTGCAAACCAAGTCCCAACGGAACAAATAATGTTTTGTTTCATGAGTCACCTGACTCAGTCCGGCCATCTGGGCCTCTAACAACAATCAGCATATCACAGCGACGAATTATTTAACCAGTTCCAGCAACTATGAGTTGAAGCCAGAACAACAGGGTGTTTGTGTAATTAATTCCTAGTTGTGCGTAGGCTGGTCGGTCACAGGCTGATTTCCAGGCAAGCAATGCATGGTTTGCCTGTTGCGAGCGTATGATTACAACACGTGGACCACTGCAATAAAGGTTAACGTATGAAATGACTTCTGTGAGCTAGATTTTCAAGAACCCGACCTGAGTATTCGAGCCTCAGACAGACAGTAAACATGCAGATTGCACTGATCAAGCATGAACGCCGGCAGACTTTGGGCACAAGGGTCGAAAAACGTTCGAACATTCCACCATCTACTACCCAGCGTTTGCCCCGACTGAATAATCAAACTCGCGTGTCCCACCGGACCGAAGTTGCGGAGCGTGTCGGTCCAGGTGGAGGCTGTTGGAGGGATCGTAATGCTTGAACCTGACATGTTCTACGGTGTTTCTTGGGAATTTTAAGCGTAAGCGGGTCCCCAGGAATTGGCTAGATTACTTGTTTGAGGATGTCTACCCTAACGCTTTGTCGTAAAACCTAGCCGCAAGGTACTGGGGCTAAATTAACTTACAGTCGCCATGACGCAGTGCCGTCATCTGGCTTTGCGATATTTCATAAGGCAGTCAGTCCAGCGGGGTCCCAGAAGCTAATATCCCCGGTTACGGAACGAAAGGATTCGTGGGAGGGAACTGCCCAGCAGGGACATCTTCCAGTTTCGGTAATGCCACAGGAACGTTTGGAGGAGACACGCAAACATTAACGGTATGATAAACAAAATGCAAAGTCAATCAACAAGGCTTGCCTTTACGAATTCTGAAATTGACTTTTGCGAAAAAATACAAGTATGCGAATATAATGTTCTCCAACCAGTGGGTAAACTAACAAGCGAGAACGCGTACCAACAGTGTGTGTGACTGAAGTGAGCGACTACCACTCCTAGGGACCAGGTAGGCCTAGGCGAGGGCTGCAATTGTGCCATAAAAAAGCATAATAATCCAAAAATATACAACGGAGGGCTATTAAGTGGACAAAATAGCCTTTAGTGTCCCGTCGATGCAATCTAAAAAGTCAATGTATTGATAAACAGTGACAGTTTAATTATTCATAGATAAGCAGGGGCTGTTCGCACATAAATTGCGGTGAGCAAACATTTCTTTTTAATTTGTTGCTTAGATTAAGAAATTTCTTCGGTTATCATTGAGAAAAGCGCCACAAAAAGAAGCCACATTTAGTTATTTTATATGACCGAACTTAACTAGAAGAAGTAATCAAGCGGCAGGATCTTACCCGTCACAAATTTTTTCCACTCGACTTTTCAGTTGCTCGCCTTGGAAGAATATGATGAACATGCATTTGTTTAACGGCTCACCCTAAAATAGAAAGTATTGACAGCCTTAGCTTGAGTTAAACGTAAGATGTAAAATAGCAATATATTGGAGTCAGAGTACTTCATCCTATTTCGATAGCACTTGGGCATCGAAGGCAAAACTTGATGGCTAAGAAGGAGATAACAAAACATATTGTCAGGAATCTTACAAACAACCATATTTGTGGGCGAATCTCTCCAAATAACGAATTTCTGGAAGTCTGTGGTAAAACTAAGCTCACGCAGCATTTTATCTGTTTAACAAAAGTATGTTTTCGCCGAGTAAAGGATGATAAATATTGTGCCAGATGATCAGACACGTTTGTACGTTGGCTAACCTCATGACCATAATGAGCTCCAATGCAGTTTGAGTTAAGGGGGGTCTTGGCAAAAGAAGCCACTAAAATATGTGCAGAGCAGTTGGCATTTAGTTGGGAATTCAACTACAGAGTGGTAATGGAAACACTCAGTGATACAGCAGACTAAAAGTGTGGAGATATATTGAAATTAAAAAGTTAAAAGTTGCTTATTACACACGCACGACCCGCCTGGGGTGCAGGGAGATTGCGGCAATACAGGACAGGGGGCCGAAGCTATCTATGCACTTGAATATGATAATGAATTTTTACCGTCGTGCTAACGAACTGTTTTTAATCCTTGCGCCTACAGGCTCCGAAAAAACTTAATAAACTGATTTTGCCTCTAGCTAACACACTTTCCCATGCCGTGCATTCTTCTTTCACCAAAAATCGTAGTCTAATTAGGTTTTTTTTATGTCACAACATACTTTTCCTTCTGGTGTATTATACGCTCTTGTCTTGAGTGACAAGGGCATTTAGCAGCGAACTGAGACCAACAAACTATAGTATCCCACATCTATTTCAGAATCGGCCTTAACGAAAAGAAATGCAGAAGAACGCCTTTTCTGTAAGGGTAATTCGAAAACAATTATCACAATTATCTATGTGGCAAGAATTACGACTATAAAATTTAAAACAGTAGGGATTGATTCTCTTAAAGATCAAAGCACGGAACTTAAAGTCCTGCTACGAACCGTTACAGGATCTTCGACGCTTTCGATCTCGGCGTGTCGAAGGAAAACGTTGCCGCGACAGGCCCGCCAAAGCATTCTCTCGAAGGCAAGAAGACGGT